GAGATACTGCGATTGAGGTTTTTGACAAGAATAGCATGGGCCAAAAAACCCAAAAATTATTGAGGTTGACGGGAAGGCTGATTGCACTGATGTCAACAACGATGTTACAAAAAATAAACTTGTCTTATTTTTGGAGCGTGTACAACGGATTGGAGCATTCGTCAGATCCTAGACTTATGAAAATATTGTAGGGTCCAGAGGATAAAGATATGCCGAGTTTCCCAAGATCTCCCCGCTCTACCCGTCATTTTTCATCATCCAGCAGGCTGACTGCCACCAGTGCATTGCCTTGTACACTAACAACAATGGAGATGTTGATGGCGCTATCACTTTCCCGACAGTCACGCTGTTTCACCATTTTCCATTCCATAATGTACGACCCTTTCATCAAGTCCTCGCGGCCTCGGAGTGTGCACCCTGAGCCATACTGTTTGCGGAGAAAAGGATCCCCCATTTTGTCCGGGCCGTTCAAAGTGTATACGATTTTTCAGATGAGGAGCCTGACCTAGCTATTTACGGTATATTCGATACTGCACAGGAACAGGGATGTATAGGATCGGAGCGATTGTGCACAAGCGCAAGACTTGCCTGAGCGCAATAATGACCTTCAGAAGGGACGTACGGGACAGATTTTCAGCGAGCTTGAATAACAAAGTTCAGAGTCAATAAGAACGTCACGTTTGCCGGCGGCAATTGCTTTTGCCCTCATACCACCACCTCCCCTTCGCCCTTTGGCTCCGTATCCTGTCCTGCGGCGGCCCTCCTTGCACCAACAGCGTTGAAGCAAAAGGCCGTCATTTTCATCCCTGTTTAAGTCGAAATTGCCGACAGGAAACTGCCGTGCCGGTTCCTGCCTGCCAGGTTCAAAGTTGTCACCTACCAACCGCCACGGGAGAATGCTAGAGCCAGATTCGACGACCGCATCTACTTCGCTCGGCGAAGAGATCCTCGTCCCACCTCCGAAGCAGAAGCGGTCGAGCGTCGCTTGCAGACGATGCCGTCGTCTTCGAGCAAAGTGTGTCAAGGACGAAGAGAAAGGGCGATGTCGCGGTTGCATCGAAGCAGGCGTGCCTAATGAATGCCAGTTTTTGCCGCGAGGCATGAGTGCCATCGACAGAGCCGTCAGTTGCAATCTGCCTGTACAAATGCCTGCGCTAACCTTCTTTTTCGTTCCTTTTATAGCCCCGACCTCCACAGAATCGAAAGCGGCAGACACGTCCCAAGGATCTTGATGGGTGCGATTCTTCTCTTTTCTTCACGATGGGAACGGATACTCACTCTGCTATAGAGGACACCGTGCCGATGGCTATGATGGCGCGAAGGCGGGACCGCTTACTCCTCAGTGAAAATCATCCTATCCTATTATCACCGCAGAGGCTTACAAATGCTTCAGGAGCCCTGTCGAGCGGTTTTGTGAGAACTGTTCACAGTCGTTAACCTCGAAATCCTTTTCCCACCAGGATCTGTTCGTGCTGCGTATCTCCATACCTTCCCACTGATCTGATCTTCCTCAGGCTCCCTCCTCACGAAGAACTCGTTGAGGCGTGCGAATGGTTCTTTTCAACTTATTTTCAGCTAGGTACGACATCAACTCCCGCATCATTTATCGCTCATGCCCAAGCAGGTTTCCTACACAAACCAACTTTTATGCACACTTTGCAGACCTCCCCACAATCTCTGAGCACCTTCCTCCTCCTTTCGATGCTTTCCGTCTCGGCGCGATTCACTCCCACCCTGGTTCAGCGCTTTTCAACACCAGTCAATGCTGCCAATACCTTTGCAAGGCGCGCACAATCGTTGGTTGGCCAGGAGATGCTGGCCGCCGCTTCCCTTGACCGAGCTCAGGCGTTCTTCCTGTGCAGCATATGGAACTGGGGAAGTGGGTTTCGGGACCGCAGCTGGATCTTTCTCGGCATCGCCGCACGGATGGCTTCCGTCCTCCGACTTTCGCAGGAAGAATCCTTCGAGCTTGGCCCTGATGCGACCGTGGAGCAGATAATCAACGCCGAAGTATCTCGACGGACTTGGTGGGTGATCTTCATGAGCGATAATCTTTTGAGCTCTGGATGTGGGCGACCCATATCGTTCGACTTGGATAAGGTGACGATCCCGCTACCCTGTGACGAGGATCATTTCACGTTTGGATACAATGGACCAGCGACGGTGATGGAGGGCACCCACGCGCGACCGCGGCTAGCGCCGCAGTCCCGTTTCCCCATCGACCCACAATTGAGCAGCGAAATTGCAGACACTAGCTCGACGAATGGCAATGGCGGTGATCGGTCGCTCTATGGTAACTTGGTCATAATCGCGGACATATGGGCCCGAGTAGCAAGGGGCGCGCTGCTGAGATCAAAAGCTGGTCCTACGATAGCACCATGGAGAAGTGACAGCGACTACTTTAAGCTGGACTCCGAGTTGCAGAACTGGGAAACCAAGTTAACTAACAGACAGACGTGGTCGCTGTCGAACCTCCTAGCATATCAAAGCAAGAGCTTGGACTTGGTATGCGTCTGTCATATAATCTGCTGTGCTTGTATTGAGCAACGTCCTAAGGGGTACCGTTGCATTTTCTTGATCATGCACTTGTCGCACATTGTGCTGCGTAGGTCATATCTCCCAATGATGGCGCGGGACGTCCATGCGTCAACCATCAATCCTCCCAATTATCGGTCTGAAGTGGCACCTCCGAGGTTCTGGGAAAACGTTGTTCACGAAATGTTTGCCCATGCGCTCAAGGTGATCGAACTCGTGAAAAGCTGGGTGCCAACTATGCCTTTTACTAGAGGCTCAACGCCAATGATGGTACAGTCTTTGCTACATCAAGCGATGTTCTACTCTTTAACCATCTACTTTAGGGTTTTGCTATTTACATGTCGGGATCTGTATTATCATATCTCAAGCGTTGGACGTGGCGTGAGTCCATCGTCCATTGTATATCAGTCTTCCATCATCTCACTTCACTGAAACTATTCAGTCTGCCCTCCATTGGCCGAGTACTCGGGCCCTGCTATTCAGGAGGCGCTAACACTTCTATTGGAGTTGGCGATAGTATGGCCCACAATGGCAGAACGATGGCATTCCAGTCTAAAGGATGCATCTTTCGCCTTTCCGCCCCGCCATGAGAATCCGCACCGGCAGGTCGAAGGCTTCGGATCTGCTGCGGAAGAGGACCTGAGTACGGATGATAGGGAGGGTATGTACAGACACAAATACCGAGGCAGCCTGGAGGAAGCCGGAGACCAGGAAGAGGTGGGCATGGATGAGTCAGTGATTCAAGAGGATGCTAAACGCCCGCGCCCTCCCGACGGCCTGCCAAAGGAGGAGACCAGTCCGATTCCACATGGTGCGGACATGTTGTATTCCCTAGCGACGGCTGCGTCACATATACAACCCCCGGCTCCCTCTGGAGGCGTACCATTCACCAATGGTGCCCCGAATGGATCTGTTCCAGCGACCTGGGTAAACTACCAGGAAGACCTTGTCACTTTATTCAACAAGGATGATCTTTCATCGCACCTGGAATACAGTGGCGATGGCTGGGCATTTTAAAGATTTTAATATGGATGATACCTTTCGATTGACATGGTTGTACATGAAAGATTTGTATTTGTAGTTTCGTTGGCTTAATTGTTTTAATGGTCTATGAAGCACTCAGCCCTTTTGCAGGTTCCGTACGATGCATTTGCGCACAGTAGGGATATCCCACGCTAGAACTCTTCACGGTATGCCTATCGCCAACTGCATGCCACATCATCGAATGCGGACAAGATGATCAAGTATATGAATTATTAGCGAAATTCTTAAATGACATCCGCAACATATCCTATCCTATTTCGCCAGCTGAGCCTGATTTTTTTAGATGTCCGGTATCCCATACCGAAAAAAGTATCTTATCATGATGCGCTAGCTCCGTTCCCCTTGGTGGAAACGCATACAAATAGCATGGCGCTGGAAAGGCAGTTCCACAAGACCTACCAAAGATATTGGTGGCTAATCTATCGAGGAGTAAGCATCCTTCCGGTGTCATTGTCTCTTCAGATATTGACCCGCGATCAATAGGAAGCCTTTTGGACGTATAACAAAGCGTGCCCTGTGTTCCGGACATATGAGTGGGATCCACAAATGGTACCGGCAGAACGCGATGCCTACCGAGGTGAACGAAATCCCAGGAAGATCCGAGAACCCGTGGATTCCCAGATTCATGATTTGCGAGCGATTACATCTTTCACCCACTCTTTTCGAACCTTCGAGTTTTTCAGTGTCATACATGATGTGGTAGATAAACCGTCGCCGAAAAAGAGAAAGGCAAGGCAGCAGGAAGGGAGTAGGAAGCGTGTGCGTTCGGGTGATGAGTCGTATGATGACGAATACGACAATGATACGGAGACTGATGACGATCTGTCTTCAGACAGCGACTACGAAAAAATTCTCCATGCTCATGAGCAAGAGGTGGCGGATACTGAGCGGCGTAAGATTACAGCGCAGACGATGCTGATCTGGTTGGCGAATTGCTGGTCCATCCAGGCTAAGCCATACGATACTGAACCGCCATAATACTGAGAGAATGGTCTCTGTGATGATTGCGAAGAAAAGAATGTATCTGTCACCTTGCATTTCTGTCCTGCTCTCTCTAAATTGAGTACGCTGGAAACATAGAAATCTGTGAGGACATTCCGCACATATCAGTATTCTCGTCGTCTTCGACGATATGGATCTGTCCTCGAAACGGCCAAGTTTTGAATATATCAGCTTCAAACTTCCTCGTCCATTCTGATAGTGCGTTCAGACTGAATACGATCCAGCATCCACTGGTGAGCATGGCTTCAGGATCTTCCAGCCCCAAATCGGTGGATTTCGCGGAGACTTGGAGAGTATGAAGGAACATCAGTTTCTACAGATATTGATGCTCGTATTATTGTCAGAATCTGTCAAAGAGGCGTGAAGTCTGGCGCGTTGTGGGCCTGTTACTATTGCAGAGGCGGGACACAAGCTACCTTGCATTAATGGGTAGTGGTAACCTGGGTCGTTGCCATCCGAGTGGATATAAATCTCGACCCGCCGGGGGTTCGATTCCCCATTAATGCATAATATACTCGTGTAGAGTTTTAGGTCGTGACTCTAGCGGCCACTGGCCAGCCAGAGGCTACTTGCCTGGGCGCCAGGGGTGCCAGGGCGTGTATAAGAAAGTATGCACCGTGTCGTCGAGCAGTTTTTTCTTCTGAATGAACACTGAACACTTCCGGTGAGTACGCGACTTGTTTTGGCTCTTGGAATATCGCTCTCTGGAACGTGCAATGATAGCTTACAGCGTCTATGGTATTTACAACCCTACTATGCACAGGAATACAAAAAACTACATTTACCCACTAGATGATTCCACAAAAAAGAGATCTGAGACGGACGCAACAGCACGGTATTAGGATGGTATTATATTAGTGGTATACGCAGGTGGGGTCGTCATCCAACTCTCCGAGCGCACCTGCTTTGCACTCGACCGTTTTCGAGGATCGACGCACACAATTGTGCGCAAGAAAACACAGAAATGGTCACGTTCACGGCTTTCTGACGATGACAATTTCCATACGCCTTTAACGATCGCCTCCAAAGAAGTCATTTGGAGCGGGAAGGGACATCGGAAGGTTCCTGGAAGGTACACCATACTAAGTAAAGTGCGACTGGACCGTCGGAGAAATAGCTCACCATCTGCATCATAGAACTCTGCACTTCGTCCCTTAATTCCGGGATCCTTCATCCATTGCGGAACCTCCCCAACCTCCTCGATAATCTGCAGCAGGTGTATCTGAGCGGGGGTCATAGCCTCGTAGTCTGGCGTGGGTTGGAAGAATGGGTCAAAAAGTGGTACCACCTGTGGCAAACTCGTACACCAAGCAACCTAAATTCCAGATGTCGATCTTCTCAGTCCCAATTCAGACCCAAAATAACTTCGGGTGCGCGAAGGGCATGTGGCTGAACGTTCGATGAAGGGTGGCGTTTGTGAGGAAGCTGGACGGCGTGGCCTAGGTCTGCTAGGACGAATCTCCACTCTGATTGGTCGAGAGAGAGGGCATCGGGTAGGGACAGGAGGATATTTCGAGGCTGGACGTCGGTATGAATGAGGTGTTGGGAATGAAGAAAGTCGAGTGCGGCCAAGACGTCGGTTGTGATCCGTCTCACGATGGGTAACGGTAACCAGCGACTGCCAAGGTGCTGTCTGAGATCGCTGAGAGTTGGGCCGTGAAGGGACAGTACAAGACATGTCGACGGAAATGAGGGCGGGTACGGGGCGAACAGGGAGTGTTTCAGGTAAAGAGACTCGCCTGCTCCGTTGTCGCTCACCAAAAGTGAAATGGTCGAGCAGTCTGACGAGCTGGTCCGGTGGGTGATCCAGTCGCAGATGCTTCGACAGTTCCCGAGTCCGTTCACCAGCTGTCGTGAGGACCTTGATGGCGACCAGGTTCGATGCAGGCAGTGAGAGGTATGTCAAGGCTGTATGGAAGGAGGCGCCGTCGTCGACATCGACAGCGTCCTCTTTACTATCTGTCTGTGCCAACCAGACGGTCGAGAACCCTCCGTGCCCCAGGGGCCGTACCAACGTGTACTCTGACCCACGGCCCAGCACAGTCCCAGGCGATAATTCCGGTGCCTGCGTAGGCGAAGCTGGCTTGGGTGGGCATGTCCTTGAGGGCGACTTTTGCTTGGACGAATGGGTGAAATTATTGAAACGAATGGCGAACTTGAACTTGAGGGTTGGTGTGGTAAAGAGAGGGAAGAGCTTAGGACGCTTGGTGGACTTGGTGGTCATTGGTGAAGCAGCTGCGCATGTGGTCGCTGAGCATGATTCACTTGGTGAGAATTCATGATAGAACGGTCAACTGGATCAACTGTCGAGTTACGGCAATTGCCGATCATCGCCTCTCATCGTCTTTTTCTTCTCTCGTAAGGGTCCCGTCACCTCCCATCACTCGAATCCATTCTCTTTTTCTCTGCTGGTACATCCTTGCCCATGCGTTTCTTGCCAGGTATCTACCTGGTTGTGCAAATTTGAATCACCTAAACACATCGCCGTATCCTCGGACGGGACTATATATAAAAGCATGATAAACGGCCCGTATCTTGTATTTGGAACGACGTCGCCTATGGCGTTAAGCGCATAGCCTAGAATTTCGCTAAGAGTGAAATTAGTGTTTCTCAAAGCCTGGCAGACTCAATTTACTCCCCCCAAGCTAAGGAAATGCTTTTCTAGAGCTCTGAATCGTACCAGTCAGTGGAGCAGCTCTCTTTACATGGCATCGGTATATCGTAATCGAACTGCCAGATCAATGATAGGTGATCCCTGAGTCGAAGAATATACCGTATATCCGCGTCTTATAAGTAATCTCCGTTCGGACCGAGCTGCTGTATATTCGAGATAAGTCCGTGTGCTCGACAATCATGTATACAATCTATTAATGGTGAACGGAAACGTCTAGGGACGTCGGAGCTGGTGAACCGCCGGGGATTTGCGGAGGATGGAAGCTGAAGTCTTAAATGGAGGGCTACTGTGACATAACTCGGGCATCATGAGCTGGAGATATACTATCTTGTTGGGGAGTGAGAAAGATTGCTGCCGTATCTTTGAAATTTGGGAACACGCTGAGCCTAAGGAAAGCGCCATAGAAACAGATGACAAGTCTTTGAAAATTGAGAGTAGATGTGGCGTAATTAGACATGATCGACTCGAAGCATCATAGGCTTGCTGGCTCATACAGCATTATCTCTATATAGGTTAACCATGTTTTGAATGTGTTGCAAGGACTTTGAAAGGACAGGTATTACGCTGTCACGTGATCGTGTCTATATTTGAAGCTTAAAAAGTGTACTTTCTTCCAAGCAGTGTCAGATTACCACGCCTCCTGCTTCCACTGACGGTGAAACCATAGTAACCAGTCATTCCAAAAATTCCTACCTCCCTAGCGACTCATGGCAACCTTATAAACCCATGGTAGTGCACCTATAACCAGAACAGTCGTCTGAACAAAATGATTATTCCGCTGGGTCTTGAATTCACTACTAGTCAACTCCTCGACGAAGCGTGCAAATCCTTACATGATTTCCCATACAGAGAAGCACATAGCTATCGACGACTCCCAAGTAACTGCAACGCAAGCTCTTCATCCTCCTCAATATCTCCAGACTTCCGGCTGTGAGCGCTCTTCTGGCGTTTCGGAGGGGGATCTACAGCATCGCTCTCACTATCAGAACCCAAGTCGAACGTCGGGGAGACATAACCGTCATCCTCAGACAACGGCTCCACGGCAGGACCACCATCCATCTAAAAGACACAGGTCAACAAGAAAAGAAAACGACCGTGTGGGTTCACATACCACCACCGCCTCCCTCTCCCTCTCCTTTCTCTTCCTCTTCTTCTCGCGTTTCTTCTCCCTCGCTTCCTCCTTATCCACAACATCCGCAACCCTCATCTTCCCCCTCTCGCCCTCGGCGTACCGCTCTCCCTCCTTCATCACACCCTCCATCCCGCCCTTCTCCTGGACCCACTCCTCCGCATCAGCCACCCCATACGCCTCCCTCGCCTCGCCCGCATCGTTGAACACGATCTTCTTCGCCGACGGCGCGTTCAGGATCAGCGTCCGCTTCGCGCGGCCGAGCTTGAGCTTCCGGTTGGACAGGTTGTCGAGTTTGACGAGGCTGAGGGGCTCGGCGGAGGGGTCGGGTTCGAGGTCGTGGTCCGCTCGTTTGAGGGTCATAAAGTCATCGTCGTCGTCCCCTGGCTCGCGCGAGACGAGTTTGTTGTAGTGCTCCGACAGGACGCCTTGGTTCTTTCGCTCGAACATCCGATCGTATTTCGTTCGTACGGTATCAGCCTGAGGGATGATGATCAGTTTACATCGAATACAAAAAAAAAACAAGGGTATACCTTCGTTGTAGTCCGTTCTAAAACATTTTCTTCTTCTTCTTCGCTCGATGAATCCTCTTCCACCTCGGACCCGCTATTTTCCTTCAACGCTTCGGCTGTTGCTTTAGTAGCCGTCCGATCAGCGTTCTTCTTCTTCTTCGCCATCTCCTTGCTGAGGAACTTGATCTTCGGCGTGCCTGGAAGGCCCAAAGATTCCGCGAACTGATCGACAGGCAGTTCCGATACTTTGAATATGGACTTGTCTTTGTGGAGGTACACAGATCGTAGGTAGGACACGAAAGCCTGCATTCATCAAAGTATATTAGGTAGGGAGGTGACGTCTTTCCGGAAGAAAACTCACCCTCTGACCGAGGTATTTAATCTCTGGTTCTTGGAATGCAAGGTTTTGGAGTTGATTGTCAATGTTCTGTGTTTTGCTTCCTCGGACCTTGAGCTTGTCGACCGTGATCGCCTTGGTTTTCAGAGCGGCCAGCATGCCTTCTTCTTCGCTTGGCATCAAGAAGATGAGGCCTTTGCCCTTGCTTTCATATCGTGCGGTTCTGCCGACCCGGTGAATATAGGTCTCCGCGTCTTCCGGAGCGTCAACCTGCAGGACCCAGTCGACGGAGGGAAAATCCAAGCCACGTGCAGCGATATCGGTCGCAAACAACACTGAATGCTTGGATGTGGTGAATTTGTTATACATGTTGAGGCGCGCAGTCTGTTTTTGCTTGCCGTGGAGGTGAAGGAGGGAGATACCGGGATGCATCTTGCAAAAGGTTTCGTAAACGAAGCGAACCTGTTTACAGCTAGACAGGAAGACAAGGACTTTGGACTGTAGATGAGACTTGATGAAACTCCAAAGCAACGAGAGCTTTTGGTCTAGTGTGCAGACGAGGTAGTGCTGCGATAGATTTTCAGGTGTTGCCATCGAACTAGAGGCATCTTCGGCATCGTGTATACCGACATGGACAGGATCCTTCAAGCTCAGTCGGGCCAGGTCACTCACTGACTGAGTCTGTGTAGCGGAGAAAAGCAACGTCTGTCTTGACTTGGGAAGATGGGCGAGGAGTGCAGACAAAGTACGAGAAAATCCCATGTCCAAAATTCGATCAGCCTCATCCAAGACTGCGGATAGATGAGAATCAATACCCAGGTATAGCGGAGAACAACTGACCAAGGACCTGCAAGT